CGGTAGTTAATAATATTCTCAAGAGAACCTCTTTCGAGTGTAGTATCGTGTATCAACTATTTTGGGACTACTCCCTCATAGTCACCGCAATACGTCTTAAGAAGGGCTAAGTTGAGTTAAGGGTAACTAAAGGCTCATAGTATTACAGGCTTCTAGGTCAAAAATAGTAAGTGTTTTCACGAATACCCATTTAACAGTACCATTCTCAAGAGGGCCTCAACTGAGCGGTGATCTCACAAGTCAACTTGGTCGAGAATTAACTCCCTATAAGCCTTCTCAAATATATCACCTCCTACCATAAGTGCACTCAAGTCCGGGTGTAGGACTTATCTTACCACACAAAGATAACAACCTAGAGCATAAACAATTATATAAATAAATAGATATACAACAATAAACACAAGTAAACAAGTTAGGGGGGACCCTCTTCATCCTCAATGAAGTTCATATCTTGCAAAGATTAGCCGAGTATCCGTGTCGAGATGTTTATCTCATCTCCAGTTTACTTCTCTTTGTCTATTTTGTCAGCATAAGCATAACATGACATTCATTCAAACAATACTCATGGCATCTGTGCATTTCACATTTTTGTGTTTGTTTGTTTGTTCATTTTGGTCGTGTTTATCCCCAAGTGGCTGGGTTTGTATTCTCAACCCAAGTAGAGTCGTCATCCCTAGGTAGAAAGAGCACAACATTTCTAAATTCCCCACTGAGTTCGATCCTCGTGGAAGACGGTTGCTTTGGCTTTTCCATTTCTGAATAAGATAAACCCTAGTTGAGTTCATCCCTCATTGGGTAGAGTCTTGCTTGACCGTTCCTCTTCAGTTACTTCCTGAATTGAACTTTGGTCCCTGACAATCACAATTTTGAATATCTCTAGGCTTTAGAACCTGGATTGAGTATGCAATTATTTTACACTTTGATTCCCTAGGAAGAACCTGTTTGAAGATCACCATTGATGACAAAGTATTTCTCCAGTTGTTTTACAGAATTTTCTCAGCAATTTATACCCAGACAACAAGTGGCAGCTCTTTACTTGAGCAGCTTATTTCATTCTCAGGTTTTCTATTAAGATGACAAATGGCAATCTCCTCAAGACAGTTAGTCTATCCCCAATGAGTTTATCAAGATTATTAACTTATCCTCCATCAAGTGGCATCTCTCTGAAAATCCATCATAGAAGTTTGGTGAAGAATCGACAAGTGTTTCTCTTTATTTGATAATTCCTTATACAAGGACTTTATTTACTTCAATGCAACTTCAAAATATATCAATACGTCTCCTCAGTGTGTTATCCCTAGTTAGTCCACTATTCAAATTGCTTCTAACAAATGTCATCTCTCTGAGAAGTTTGATGACGATTCAGATGATCTTTCTCTTTATTTGAGAAGACATATTTTTTCAAATCAATTAGCCTGCATCTATTTTTGAAGATCCTCGGTGTAGCTTCCGAATCTCCAATAAGTTATAGATTCCCACTGAAGTCATAAATCTCCAATAAAATTCCAATCCCCTATGAAGATACTTTCCCATAAGTATTCACCTTTCCAGGAAGAAACTGAGACCCGCTCGAGGCTTATAACATTGAAGCGTGGGGAGGTTTATTTTTATACTTTTCAAGTGGAATACTTGATAAAGAAGAAACTGAGACTCGCTCGTGGCTTATAACTTTGAAGCGTGGGGAAGTTTATTTTACCCTTTTCAAGTGGAATACTTGATTAAAGAAGAAACTAATACCCGTTCATGGCATATAACCTTGAAGCGTGGAGAGGTTTATTTTACCCTTTTCAAGTGGAATACTTGATTAAAGAAGAAACCGAGACTCGTTCATGGCATACAACCTTGAAGCATGGGGAGGTTTATTTTTACCCTTTTTCAAGTGAAAGACTTTATTAAAAAAGAACTGAGACTCGTTCATGGCATACAACCTTGAAGCGTGGAGAGGTTTATTTTTACCCTTTTTCAAGTGAAAGACTTGATTAAAGAAGAACTGAGACCCGCTCATGGCATACAACCTTGAAGCGTGGGGAGGTTTATTTTTACCCTTTTTCAAGTGAAAGACTTGATTAAAGAAGAACTGAGACTCGTTCATGGTATACAACCTTGAAGCGTGCGGAGGTTTATTTTTACCCTTTTTCAAGTGAAATACTTGATTAAAGAAGAAACTGAGACTCGTTCATGGCATACAAATTTGAAGCGCGGAGAGGTTTATTTTTACCCTTTTTCAAGTGAAATACTTGATTAAAGAAAAAATTGAGACCCATTCATGGCTTACAACCTTGAAGCGTGAGGAGGTTTAGTTTACCCTTTTCAAGTGGAATACTTGATTAAAGAAGAAACTGAGGCCCGTTCATGGCATACGACCTTGAAGTGTGGGAGGTTTATTTTTACCCCTTTTCAAGTCAAAGACTTGATTAAAGAAGAACTGAGACCCGTTCATGGCATACAACCTTGAAGCATTGGGAGGTTTATTTTTATCCTTTTCAAGTGAAGATTTGATTAAAGAAGAATTTGGACCCGTTCACAACATACAACCTTGAAGTGTGGGGAGGTTTATTTTACTCTTTTCAAGTGGAATAACATAGCAGAATAGGATCTAAGATCAATCAGAAAACATCTCAGCCAGTCCTCTTTCAAAATCGGTTATATTCCTCTAAAAATAGTTGATATCTCGCACCCGCTCACAGAGTTTTTATCCCCTAACAATTCAACTTTCAACCATGCAATTGATAATGATTTTCCCCAACATCTTTGCTTTTATTTCTCTTCAAGCAGTGGTTACCCTAAAAAGCCTCCTATAAGGTTTTCCACTGCAAAGTTTTGCCAATAAACTTGTTCTTCCTTTATTTCATTGCATTTTCACTACTTTCTATTACTAAATTTCATCTCTGCATTTCATGTCCACCTTTTAGGACAAAACTTGGGATGTTTCTGTATTTAATTATCTTCCACCAGGAATGTACGAAGACCAATGTCATTCATACCTTATGGTTCATGTTAATTGAATAGGGGCATCTGTCATACCCCAATTTTGTCCATCCTTCATATGCTTTCGAGTGAATTTTATTACGAATAAATGAGATAGCATTGTTGGTATGAAGGTATGTGTAAGAGGTTTAATCATAAGGTTGTGGGTTCAAGTCCTATTGTATTACTTTTTGTATTTATTTTCTTTTTTGTGTGTTTTCACTACGCCAAAATTGATATTTTGTATCACATAATTTAATAGCGCTTTTAAAAAAAGTGCTATTAAGAAGGAAACAAACATATCTATAATAGCACTTTATGGTCGGGCGCTATTATAGAGTGTAGACAATGTGATTTTGATAGCACTTTATTAAAAAATGCTATTATTAAAAAGGAAACAAACATATCTATAATAGCACTTTTAAAAAAAGTGCCATTAAAAAAGAAACAAACATATCTATAATAGCACTTTATGGTCGGGCGCTATTATAAAGTGTAGACAATGTGATTTTGATAGCACTTTATTTAAAAATGCTATTATTAAACTTCAATAACATAGCACTTTCTTTAAAACGCTATTAATATTCTTTATTAAGATCTCTTATTATAATATATTACTAGGAATAGAAGAGGATAAGGGAGTCGAGAATCAAGCGAACCATGCCACAAACCCTTTAATCTTCATCGTGACCCATCTTCAACCTTCAGATTTCAGCAACTCGTCGACCGTAACTTCGCCGTCATTCGCCATATCTAATTGTAGAATGCTTGTGTGTTCGTTTCTCATAGATGAATGCAACCATAAATCCAACTCAAATTCGTTGTAGTCCGAGTTCGTTCCTGACGACCTGGTAATGCAGCCTACGACATTACATCATCAACGCAACAATACATCAGACTCTGTGGTGACAACATTGACACAAGCGCCAACAAAATCACTAGTCACTACAAATCTGACATCATCCGTGAATTGAATCACAACAACTGCAGAAACTCACATGTCGGTAATCCTCGATCTCAAACTCTTGTGGTGTTGTAATTTTTTGGGCCAACTCTATTGTTCTGATTTCTTCTTGTGTCATAGTTCAATCATGTAGATGTTATACATAATTAGTTACAGGAACTCACATTTCGGTAATCCTCGATCCTAAATCGTTTTTGAAAACATCCGCTGCACGATGAGGTTTCCCGAGTGAAGGATTCTACATTTGGATATTTGTAGTTCTCCGTCAACGCCACTTTAATGAGAAGAACATTGTGCATCTTTAACTTCAAATCTTTGTCTCTCTTTAAAGCTTCAGAATCACTATTTTGAAGGAAAGCACAGGTATTTCTTAAGCATACTAGAATTGATATTTTTTTGCTCTTATAATTGATATGTATGTTAGATGTTCGATTAAATGCCTCACAGAAACAAATAGTTAATTATTCTGAATGATTATGATATTGTTTCGATGTTGTAGCTTGAGAAAGAGAGTTTGTGGTTTCTAGCAGGGGAGTGGTATGTAGCTTGTTTGTGTTCACCCATTTGAATAGTTTTTGGAAGAGCGGATTCCACCGAATCGAGCGGTATCAAAGAGGTACTTTATAACATCTCAAGTTGAGTCGGTCTGATATCAAATTAAAGGCTAAACGGTTTACTGCAAATGAATGTGTCTGGATCCTTACTTTTACTCCTTGTTTATGCTTCTATGTTATGTGTACTCAACCGAGTTTAGATACTAATCTGATGCAATAATATTTTTGCAGGGGAACCAATCTTGGTGCTAGACGGAGTACTTGTTGCCATAAAGGACGATATAGATTGTTTACCTTATCCAACAATAGGTAAGGCAGTGTACCATTTTATTTCTTTTCTCAGGATCATATATTCAAATGATTAAGCTGCTGATTTCATAAATCCCTAAAGCAACTTAAAATGGTGTGTTTAAGGTGGTATAAAGTGGCTGCATAAGGAAAGGCCTTATAAAGATGATGCATGATGTGTTAAGAGTTTAAGGCAATGCGGTGCCATACTTGTTGGGAAATCAAATATGCATGAACTTGGGTCTGGAGCTAGTGGGATAAACCCACACTACGGGTAAGAATAGTACTTCCATCACCATGTGTTACACTCTTTCGTATTATGTTACATATATTTGTGGATTTCAATTAAATAATAGTGGACTTACTCAGACGCGTCTTTTTATTTACTTTATAGGCCTACTAGAAATCCATATGATTGCAAAAAGATTGCAGGAGGTTCTTCTGGTGGATCTGCTTCTTTGGTGTCAGCGGGACTGTGCCATGTTGCTCTTGGTGTTGATGGAGGAGGTATTTGATCCAAATCTCTTGATTATATTCATAATTAGAATGAATGGTGATTTATCTAGTCTTTCATTTGTTGAATCACTATGATGTTTGCACCTGTTCAGGATCTGTAAGGATGCCTGCTGCTCTTTGTGGTATTGTTGGTCTGAAACCAACTTTCACGCGTATACCACATGACGGGTAGGTATTCATTTTTTGCATCATGTTTAAATACTAGAAAATTTGTAACTATGATTTACAAGAACGTCCTTCTGCTATATCCAGAGTTCTTCCTATAAACTGGACAGTTGGAATGGTTGGAATATTAGCAAGCACGGTCGAGGATGCGCTGATAGTGTTAGTAGTTATTTATGTGACACTTTATCTTCAATGAACTGATAAATTGGTTTTACAACATCTGTTGTTTTTCTGTTTATAGTTATGCAGCTCTCAGTGGCGAAATTCCATCACATCCACCCTCCAGCGTATTGGTAAAGATTTTGATCGTTTATCACGATTCTGATTAGATATACACTTTTTATAGTCTCTTTGAACTTCTAAAACCTTTTTGTAATGCTTCAGACCGAGATAAATCTTCCAAGACTAAGCTTGACGAAGTCCATATCTTCCATAAGGTTGGCGAAATATGGAAAGGTTATACACCTAATTTCCAGATATAAACACGCATTATCAGTTCCGTGGATTATAAAAGTAGGTTTTTCTAACATTATTTATGTTATTTAACCAGTACTTCAATCAATTAGTGGTTTGATGATTGTAGTAATGATGTCAGAGTATGCTGCTCCCTAGCTTTGCTAAAGCTTCAAGATCATTACAACTGGAAGGTATTGAACAATATAAAAATTATGTTACAACAATTACCGAATCACTTCTAAAACAATTACCGAATCCAAAATTGAGAAACAGAAGAGCTATTACTCGCTAACTTGGTTTTCTTTTTCTTCAAACATACAAGATTATAGATGTCACCATACCAACCCCATCTCAACCCCATGAAAATATATTTTGATAGCAAATTACAATTAGCACATAACTGCCAATCCAATTTTTCAATGAGCACACAAAACACATCAAAGTTGTTTGTCTTTTTGACAGAGGATATTCATTCACACTGTCACTTTATTTTTTTCTTACAGTTGTGGTCCATGCAAGTTTTCTCTTCTGTTCCTTTCTACCAGTTTTTTTGTGTAGTAGTAATAGATCTAGTATTCTTTTGTTACACTTTTTTGTGCAATAAATTATATCATATTTTTCTATTATTAATTACTATATGACTTTTATATATACATGAAACTTGTGTTTCACCAAAACATGCAAATTTTCATGAACTGATATAATTAAAACTTACAATTTTTTTAAAGCTTTTATCTATGTTTTTCATGCTTATCTTTATGTATGGACCCTACCAAAAACAGAACTGCTCCTGGACCAGTAGTAGGTTGGCCACCAATTCGTTCATTCAGGAAGAATATTGCAACAACAAGTAGCAATTCTAAACCATTATCACAAACTGAATCTCAGACATAACATCAAAACAAGGTTGTTGCTGGTAAAAAATCTATTGATAACAACTATGGTGGTAAAGGTTTGTTTGTTAAAATCAACATGGATGGTGTTCCTATTGGTAGAAAAGTTGATCTCAAAGCTTATCATAGCTATGAAAATCTCTCCATAGCTGTGGATGAACTCTTTAGAGGACTCCTTAAAGGTATAACACTGTTTTGTGTCATATTTTAAATAATGATTATTATAGTAACACTTGATTATGTTATGATTATAATATTAATTTTTATTGTGTACAGCTCAAGGAGATTCTTGTGGAAGTAAGAAAAATGAAGATGAAGAAAAAGTGGTTAGTGGAATATTGGATGGAAGTGGAGAATATACTCTTGTATATGAGAATAATGAAGGAGACAGGATGCTTGTTGGTGATGTCCCATGGCAGTAAGCATCTTCAATATCACTTCCAATCTTATGCTATATTATAATAATAAAATTTATAATAATATATTCCAATACTGTTAGATTCCTTGTGTTTAACAATTCATATATATTTTTTAATTATATTTAACCATTTATGTTTTGACAAGTGTTGAGAATAATTCTGTAACACTACATGCCATAACACAACATTTGTTCTATGTCCCCTCTCTTAGAAATAATACAAATAAACTATAGTATAAAATTATATAATAAATGTGTTATGTATGTTTTTGGCAGTATGTTTGTATCAACAGTGAAGAGACTTAGAGTGTTGAAGAGTACAGAGCTTTCTGCATTTACACGTGAGTTAGACAGAATCTTAGCTAGTTTGTTTACTATTTTTGTTTTCTTGTTTCATTTGTTTGATTTTATTTGTCGTTGAAGATTTGAATAAATGTTGATTTTTGTGTTTTCAGTTAGGACTACTAAGCAAGAGAAGATATGTACTTGATTTGGCAATGGAATGAAAGTGTATGATTATGAATGTTTATTATTTTATTTTTTTAAATGAAGATTTGAAATGTTTATGGGTTTTGTATAAATAGGGAAGTATAACTTCAAGAATGTGTGTACTCTTGATTTACTGTGGAGTAACTATTTTAACTTATTTTGGTTTGAATTTTGAAGTCGATTTTGTAGATTGCTGTTTTTTCTTTCACATCTCTCAGATTCTGTATGATTTTCAATACATCAAAGATTTTCAAAGCAAATAAAGTACATTTTCTAACTAAGTCACACAATGAGTTGAAATGTTGCTTGTGAGGAGTTCATAATTCAAAAAGACAAACAACTTTGATGTGTTTTATTTGCTCATTGAAAAATTGGATTGGCAGTTATGTGCTAATTGTAATTTGCTATCAGAATATATGAATTTTGCTACTCAATCCTCCCATTTATTGTAGTATTGAGTTATAAAATCTCATTTTTTTTAAAAAATAAATAAAGGGAATTAATAGCGCTTTTCTAGAAAGTGCTATTAAAGATAGTGTCTACAATAACACTTTTAGAAAAAGCGTTATTAAATACAAGGACTATAATAGCACTTCTTCAAAAAGCGCTATTAAATCCTTTCATAAACAAGGTGTATGGTAGCGTAGAATAGGGCAATGATAGCATTTATAATGAAGTGCTATTAAAAACACTCATTTTAATAGCATTTTCAAAGCGCTATTATATGTATCAAATCTATAATAGCGGGGGCTTTTATAGCATTTTTAAGCGCTATTAAAGGTGAAAAAAAGCGCTATTAAAAACAATTTTTGGCGTAGTGTTTCATTAAAAAGGGGTAAAAAGATCATTTTCCATTATTTAATTATTATTTTCGTTTTTTATTTAGGAATATTTTAAAAAATAATTTTTTATTTTTAAATCTTTATTTTATGCATTAAATAAATATAAAAAAAATCCAATAAAATAAAATCTCAAAACCAATTCAAGATTCATTCCAAAACAAGTTTTAAACATAATCCAAACATGTTTGAATGAAAGAAGAAAGTTTTCAAAATCACAAAACATGTTTCAAACATGTTCCAGACAAATTTGAATTTCTTCCAAATCAACATCTCAATGTCAAGATTCAAAATGTCTATAAAAGAGTGCAAGAGACCAACACTCAAGAAAAAAAAGCAACACTAGCAGCATATGAGAGAAAATGGGAGAACTTAAATATAGGAGCATCAGTATTTTTTTCCTTTTTGGATATATTGTTGTTCTTCATTCTTCATGTGCATTATGTGTATCATTATACTGTTTCTTTTTTTTTTTTTATGAATAGTTTCGATTGTTATTTTATATTGTCACTTTATCGTTTGTGTTTCTTATATATCGTTTGTGCTTCTTATATATATGTTCAGTTTACACTCTATATATTTGTTTGTGATTATTATATATTTATGCATATGTCCAGATTGAATAGTACATACAATATATATTTATTTATGTTTCCTTTGTATATAAATGCGATCATTATTTAATTTTTTAAAGATATATTTACCCTTGTTTTAAGTTTTATATGCAAACCGCCTCACTCTCTCTCTCTCAGGCCACATGCAAACCGCCGGAGTTTCGCCGGAGAAATCATACGGCGCCAAACTCGCTGGTAACCGTCGCCGGAAACCCAACGTTCGCCGAAATCTTCATCCTCACCGGAATCTTCATCTTCTCCACCCGATTCATCAATTCTCCAGAATTCGTTCAACATTCATCATCAATCATCTTGATCTTCATCCAGATTTGTTCAAGACCTTCATCCAATCTTCAACAATGTTCATAATGTTCATCCATCATTTTTCTAAATCTTGTTCAAATCTTTATCCGATTCATCATCCGTTCATCCATTTTTCCAGATCTCCACCATAAGACTTATCCGATCTTTAATACGCCTTCGTATCTCCATAACTTTTTCCAGATCGCTCCAGAAATTCATCACCATCGTATAACGTTTTCCAGAATCTTCAAAAGATCTTCATCATAGTTTCATCAGTTTTTCCAGAAGATCTCGTAAACTTTTATCATCTTCACCATTTTTCTTTTAGATCTTCATCTTCTTCATGGAGATCCTCAAGATCTAGACGAAGACGACAAATCTTCAAGAAACTCCAGGCTCACACCGTCTTCATCCACATGCATCATCAATTGTTCTCCCACGGATTCAACAACAGTCTCAAAATCTCGTCACCATCAACTCAACGAAGTTCACCCAAGCTTCCGGATCTAAAACTCTAACCACAACTTATCAGCAACTTCAACAAGATCCACCTCCATCGAAGCTTCGCGATCTTCAACATGCAAACTGATTTTACTTCGCTTCACAATCCGCATAAATCAGGTTGCATCTCGAACTTCGTCTTGAGAAACACCCTCATCCGCCATGAATGAGTCTAAACGTGAGCTCCGTTAACTTCATCGTCGTGAACGATGAACTCAGAGCTCCATGATCCAATCTCTGTTGTTTTGTTGAGTTTAATAGCAGATAATGAGCTTTTGAATTTGAAATAGAAACGAACATAGGGAGGTGATGTTGAGCATTGGATACGGAAAGAAGAAGAAGTTGTTGATTGGATTTCGCTTTGAGACAGAGAGACAGAGAGAGAGGCAGAGGCAGACGGCGGCGAAATTAGGGTTAGGTGAGTGGGGAAGATGATGATAGGTCGTGGACTCCTCAGACGAGGTTGGTGGGCTTTGGGTGGCCCAATTATTTTTGGCTGATACCCTCCCGTTTCTCTCATAGCCTCCCTTCTCTGTTGGTTCATTTTTGGAGATTGTGGGCTCAGGCCCACTGCCTTTTTGCTGTACTACACCCCTGCCTGGATGTTGTACCCCCTGCTGTTTTTTTTTCTATTTGTAAATACTTTTTAATTTTTTTTTTCTTTTAGGATATATGCATATTTTAAAAAGAGTTTTATATTCTTTTTTTTTCTATTTTCCTTGTAATTTCTTTAGGAGTTTTTAATATTCTCTATTAGGAGTTTATTTTCATTTTAGGAGTAGAATATTATTTCCATTTGTTATTAGATTTTTTTTCACCACTTTTGTTTTGTAGGTCGATGATGAGGCTTCTGTAATGCGTTATTAATCAACTTGTTGATGGATAATATAGGATCCGAGACCACTTTTTCTATCCTCATTTTTCTTCTTCAATCTGATTTTTACTTTGATTTTATTTTGTGTTGTCCGTGTGACATGATTCAATTGGAGAATGATTCTCAATATCATTTCTCTATCTTGTCTTTGACACGGATATCAATACGCTGCCTCTTAGAGTTTGACTTCTCTTATAAGTCGAACCATGACGGTTTAGCGTTACATTGGTTCTGATTCGAAACGTCATCATCAAGGATCCAGAGAGGAGAAGATTGGAATGGAGCTTGCGCACAATGTCAAGGGCCAATGGAACTACTTCGTTTGATAACATCTTTCTTATTCAAGGCTTTAGGCAACCGTCGAGTGTGTGAGCTGTAGCGTTAGATACGTAGGAAATGGTGATTAAGGGGCCACCTCTCAATTGCTTAGAATGTTTAGTATATGTCCTTAGGACGATATACGACACATTCGCTCCTACGCCTTAGGTTCTTGCGTGTGTGTCCCGAGTTCCTTCCCGTTTGGGCGTGTTTGGCCTGCTTCCTCTTTGTTCTCGCCCCCGTGCGATCGAAACTCTTTTCTCTCGCATCCTGGCGATTGAGATCCCTTCTCTTGCCCCTGTGCAATCGAGACTTGTTTTCCGCATGCGCCGAACTACGTTTGCTCTGATCTCTCGTAACAGAAGAGAGTACGTAGGCATAGGATTGCGATAATCCTAGCGAGCTAACTCTTCCCCCTTTCCTGTAGTTGGCTGAACTACAGCTGCTCTGATTTCTCGTACCAGACGAGAATATGTAGGCATAGGATGCGATATCCTAGCGAGCATACTAACAACTAATTTCTTTGTTCTCTCGCTTCCGTGCGATCAAGACTTTCCCGCTGACGACTAATCTTCCCTTTCTCTTGCCCTAGCGCAATCGAGACCAGACCGTAGTTCTAGAACCCGTAGGTTCCCATACCTTTAAACCCCGACATACTACGTCCGTTCTACCGCAAACAAGTAACGCCTAAGTCTCCAATGGTCGAGCAGCATACACCTAACTACTCGAATGTGCACGCTAGTATCGTCAACCTTTTCTCTCACCCCCGTGTGATCGAGAACACCCTTGTTTACCCGTAGTTAGCTGGAACTACGTTTTGCTCTAATTTCTCATGCCAGATGAGAATATGTAGGCACAAGACGCGACGTCTTGGCGAGCGGTCCCCCCGTAGTTTACCGAACTACGTTGACTCTGACTTTCCCATTGTACAAGGGAATACGTAGGCAGAGAGCGCGATGCTCTATCGAGTCAGTTCTTTCCGTTTAGCTTTAGAAGCCATAGTTAGATTGTTTTTCACCCATAGACCAAACCAACATGCATGGATCCCGTTGAGTACAACGGACGTGAGGGGTGCTAATACCTTCCCCTTGTGTAACCGACTCCCGAATCCAGACATGGTTGCGATGACCTTGTATTTCCCCTTTTCTTTAGGTTTTTGCGATCGTTTCCTTTCCCTCTCTTTGGGATAAATAACGAAAATGGTGACTCTTTTATTTTTCCACTGGTGGTTTTTCGCAGTAGTGACAGCTGGCGACTCTGCTGGGGGCTCCAACGGTTCCCTATGCGAGTCAATCCTAGCGCTTGTTTGCTTGTCTTTGGGTGTTTATAGTGTGTGTTGTATTTTGTATATTGATGTATTTACATTTTCCGCACTATATTATTATCTGTTACTGCTGTGTTGTGGGGATGGGAAGTTCCATTGAGTGATAAGCCGGACCCGGGCTTGAGTACAAACCTAGCATTAGAGTGGAGACTAGTGGGGGGCCTGTTTGCTTAGCAGATACAGTTCCCCGTGAAATTCACACTCGGACGAGATTCTCTTTGATGATTTTCCTTCAGATCCTTAGGATCGGTTGGGATTTTGGATTTGAGAATTGTCGACTCTGGGAACCGATCATTTGTGAGTCAGCTAAGTGAGGCCTCTTTAGGAGATGATGATGCCAAACCAGAAATGGTGAACGTATCATCGTTTCTCAAAAGCCTGTGACGCTGATGAACGCATAGGATGCCGTACCTTTGTCAGTTTAGGTCTATACCTGTGAGTAAGAGGGTTTTTGCAGGAAACTTGACTTCCAACCAACCCGATATTTTGGTTATCTCTTCAGAGCGAACTTATCCAGTCAGTAGCGCAGCAGTATTCAGAGCTTTGTGGGGGCTGTGATCCCATGTTTGTTTCATTTTGCATTGCATTTCATGTGCATCTCATGCTTGCATGTCCATCCTCGGCCGGAAGAGAAAGCTTACCCGTCTTTTGTCCAACCCGCAGTTGATTTCCCGGCATTCGCATTGGACTTGAGTTAGTTTCTGGAAGGATCATGAACTCAGCAGAGCAGAATCAGGTTGTTACGAGGGCCGAGTTTGAATTGTTGAAGAATCAGTTGGGTCAACTCATGGACGCCATAATCGTTATGATTAGAGGAGAGGCTAATGATCAGAGGACTCCGGTAAATAATGCTGCTCAAGCTCAGCCTGTGCAGATCCCTGTCGGAGATAAAGATTCATCTTCTCTTCATGACACAAACTATCATAATTTCATTTTCTTTGTGCCAGATCCTCAGAGGATTGTTCCAAAGGTGAATGCTGAGAACCCACAGACTGTTGAGTTTATGAGGAAATGTCAGCTGTTGGAGGAAAAGCTTGATACCTTGATGAGTCGGAATACTCTCGATCTGAATGCTTCGAGCATGTGCTTAGTGCCAGGTCTTGTGATACCTCCGAAGTTCAAAATGCCGAATTTTGAGAAGTTCAAAGGGGATAGTTGTCCGAAGCAGCATTTGGTGATGTTCTGCAGAAGAATGACTTCACATGTCCACAATGACAAGCTTATGATTCACTGTTTTCAGGACAGTCTGAGTGGAGCATCGTTGAATTGGTATATACAGTTGAAGAATGATTACATCAGGTCATGGTCAGATTTAGCCAATGCCTTCGTGAAGCAGTACAACTACAACCTTGACATGGCTCCTAGTCGCATGCAGTTGCAAGAATTATCTCGGGCGGACAATGAATCCTTCAGAGGGTATGTGTAGAGATGGAGAGAATTTGCTGCTCGTGTTCAACCCCCACTTCAGGATAAAGAGTTGATTGACATATTCTTGAGTACCTTGAAAGGCCATTACTTTGACAAGCTGATCAGTGGTAGAGCGTCGAACTTTGTTGACTTGGTGATAATAGGGGAACGTGTTGAGAGCGGAATCAAGAGTGGAAAAATTCGAGACATCTCAGATACTTTAGTGTATGAAGGTGAGTCAGTTTCCAGTTCATAAGAAGAATGGGAGAAAGGAAGTGATGTTATCCCGGAATCCCGCGTACCTCAGATTCAGTGTTCAGATGCTTCGAGTGTTCAGAGCCAGCAACCTGTTGGGTATGTATGTCAGATATCTATTCCCCTCCAGAGTCAGCAGTCATACTGTCATCAATCGCGTCAGCACGCTAGACGAAGACCCAGGAAACCAGAAAGGCATTTTACTCAGCTACCGGTATCGTACAGTCAGTTATTGCCGGATTTGATCAAAGGTGGTTTGATAATGCTGAAGAAGATTAATCCAGAAATCCCGCCATATCCACCAGGCTTCGATGTCAGCGCCCACTGTGAGTACCATGCTAGGGCACAGGGGCATTCAACTGAAGACTGTAAGGTTCTTAGAAGCTAGGTTCAGACTCTGCTGGATTCCAACAGGATCTCAATCACACCTCAGGGTGTTCAGGTTAACGAATTTCCTTCATCCAGCCAAGTGGAATGGAGCTTGCGCACAATGTCAAGGGCCAACGGAACCGCTTCGTTCGATAACATCTTTCTTATTCAAAGCTTTAGGCAACCGTCGAGTGTGTGAGCTGTAGCGTTAGATACGTAGGAAATGGTGATTGAGGGGCCACCTCTCAAATGCTTAGAATGTTTAGTATACGTCCTTAGGATGATATGCGACACATTCGCTCCTACACCTTAGGTTCTTGCGTGTGTGTCCCGAGTTCCTTCCCGTTTGGGCGTGTTTGGCCTGCTTCCTCTTTGTTTTCGCCCCTGTGCGATTGAAACTCTTTTCTCTTGCATCCTGGCGATTGAGATCCCTTCTCTTGCCCCTGTGCAATCGAGACTTGTTTTCCGCATGCGCCGAACTAGGTTTGCTCTGATCTCTCGTACCAGAAGAGAGTACGTAGGCATAGGATTGCGATAATCCTAGCGAGCTAACTCTTCCCCATTCCTGTAGTTGGTTGAACTACAGGTGCTCTGATTTCTTGTACCAGACGAGAATATGTAGGGATAGGATGCGATATCCTAGCGAGCACACTAACAACTAATTTCTCTATTCTCTCACTTCCGTGCGATTGAGACTTTCCCGCTGACGACTAATCTTCCCTTTCTCTTGCCCTAGCGCAATTGAGACCAGACCGTAGTTCTAGAACTCGTAGGTTCCCATACCTTTAAACCCCGACATACTACGTCTGTTCTACCGCGAACAGCTAACGCCTAAGTCTCCAATGGTCGAGCTGCATACACCTAACTGCTAGAATGCGCATGCTAGTATTGTCAACCTTTTCTCTCACCCCCGTGTGATCGAGAACACCCTTGTTTACCCGTAGTTAGCTGGAACTACGCTTTGCTCTGATTTCTCATGCCAGATGAGAATACGTAGGCACAAGACGTGACGTCTTGGCGAGCGATCCCCCCGTAGTTTCCCGAACTATGTTGACTCTGACTTTCCCATTGCACGAGGGAATACGTAGGCATAGAGCGCGATGCTCTATCTAGTCAGTTCTTTCCGTTTAGCTTTAGAAGTCGTAGTTAGATTATTTTTCACCCATAGACCAAACTAACAAGTGTGGATCCCGTTGAGTACAACGGACGTGAGGGGTGCTAATACCTTCTCCTTGCGTAACCGACTCCCGAATCCAGACATGGTTGTGATGACATTGTCTTTCCCTTTTTCTTTAGGTTTTTGCAATCGTTTCATTTCCCTCTCTTTGGGATAAATAACGAAAGTGGCGACTTTTCTGTTTTTCCGCCGGTGGTTTTTCGCAGTAGCGACACCATGATGGAAGGATAGTTTGACAATAGTCGAATCAAGAGGAAGACCAGATTGCTACACCTGCACCTGTTCCTATCCCTATTCCACTGCATCCACCATTTCCCAGAGGACCGTCTGATACGTCACTTTTGGTGAGGTATCAGAACCACGTTGCTCGTTAAATATGGGACGGTAAAGTAAGTCAATCTATGACATTTCAACGTTGAATAAAATCTAATTTAATTATTTATGTATGATGACACATATTATGAATTATTTTCAGGAGATATCTCTGAAGAAAGAGCTGAAGGTTGTTGCACATGGCAGCAAATTGATTGGATGGGTTCCGCATAGTCTCCCACCAACTATTGAGTCGTGGGTATCTGCTTCGGTTTATCCTCTCTGTAGAGAACCAGTTTATCAATGATAGATCAGAACTTGTTATTTGCATTTGTTGAGATGTGGCACCCCGAAACATCGTCCTTCCATATGTTGTTTGGCAAGATGACTATTACGCTGGACGGTGTTTCTTGCCTGCTACATATAGCATGTAAGGGGGCCTTCTGTAACCTTGAAGAAGGGTTCAGTGAATCGAATGCTATTACTCAGTCTATTCGTCTGATGGGTGTTCCACTGGCTGAGGAAGCTAAAGAGGTTTGTGTTTGCAGAGGTCCCTATTATAGGCTGGACTGGTTGAAGAAGATATTTGTCTGTCTGCGAGCTGAGAGCATATATGATTGTGCAGCTAGAGCATATATGTTATTGTTACTAGGTTGTACTATTCTTACCGATAAGACCTTTACTCTTGTAGAGGCAAAGTATTTACCATTATTTGAGAACTTGTCTAGCTGTGGTAGATACTGTTGGGGGGCAGCCTCACTAGTCACACTTTACATATATCTCAGAGATGCCTCCTTTTACAGTTGCAGACAACTTAGGGGATATGCCTCTCTACTACAGGTATAAATGTTTTATTTTAATTTCATTTAGACCTGTATTAGCATATTTATAATACTTTTAACTGATAATATTCATGTTGTGTAACAGTGTTGGATTCATGAGTATTTTCCAACTGTTGGCAAGAAAGGATTTTTGAAGATTGCTGGTATCGGTAGTCCACTTCCTAGGGCGATGAAGTGGATGTACCAGAAAGGAACGCAGAAGGTTGATGAGTTGAGGGCTGTGTTGGATGGATTGACACATGCGGATGTCATTTGGTGCCCTTTTCAGGATCACAGACAACATCAACTAATTGATGATATTTGCTTGTACAGGGGTGGCCTGAAATGGTATGATACAACTGTTCTTTATTTACCTGAAAGATGTTTGCGTCAGTTTGGATACAGGCAATACATACTGTAACACCCTAATTTTCGACCTTAAGATCCCACATCTTCGAGCATCGTCTTGCATGTCTGTGTGTGTTTATTATGATTAACCAGTTTGTACAGATGCAGTAATTTCGAGTGGAGACAATACCCATTATCACTGTTAAGCATTTTGGGGTATAACCCTTCTGATTCAAGGATCCTAGGGTGTCTTGCTGGGTCTGATCATTTTCTTACTAAGGATCAAAGTCATTTTCATCAAGGTTCCTCGAGAGATATGGTGCATTGATCTCTAACTGGAGTTTGTTGGGCTTTAGTGTATTAGATCATGGTTTCAAGCCCAATTGTAATATGATGTTTTGTCTTGGGACGTATCATCCTTTAAAGAAGTTTCGCCATCATTAAGAGTTTCAGGGTTTCATCGAGGTGTTCAAAATTAAAATTTTCAAAGCCTAGGCCCGATAACATAAACATGATCCGTCCACCATCCAAATATCTAGGCTACATTATTTTGTGTGATTAAGGGCCCCAGAAGAATGAAGCTTCATAAAGTTGAAGATCTCAAAATTCATGTTTTTTTTCGTCCTTCAAACTCCAAACTATAATTCACTCAAGTTACCATGAGTTTGACATAAGTGTAAGAGGCTATCAAAGTGTAAAGATGGATCAAGGGGTTTCCATTTGATTTTAAGGTGTATTTCATAATGTCTTTAGGCCACGTCTTATGATAATTTCAAAAGTTGCAAGTTTAGAACTTCAAAGGTCCATGATTGATTCAATATACGACCCAAAGTCCAGATTTAATTAAAGGATGCGCCAAGGGTCATCAACACCATGTCCATTTTCAAATCCAAGACGCCAACCATGGTTTGCAAATTGAAATCCTAAAATGATAGAATTTTATGATCACAAAGATAAAAATTGGCATTTCAAGATTGAAAATTTCCAAAGATATTTCAAAGGATTCATATGTTGAAATTCTTAATTTCAAGTTGGTTCCAAAGTGCAAATCATCAAAATGGACAATTTCTCTCTAAAAAGTCCAAAGAATGTTGCGGAAATCTTTTTGTCTTCTTTTGGTCTCAATGTTAAAGAATTTCTCAAAGCAAAGTCTAGAGCACATGAAAACTCGGGTGGTTTATTTGTTTAAACCCAAACTGTGGTTGGATCTATTCAAGAATTGATTAATTCAAACACAAAATGCAAAGATGAACACATAAGTTTTATTTGACTTTCCAAATTATCCTTACAAAAGAAAAAGAGCAAACATACAAGCCGTTATTCTACAAGTTGTTCTAAATAAAAGTTGAATTGGATACAAATCAACACCATTCTAAAAAAAAACAACCACAACATAAGGTTACACATGGAGAATGAATTGAGAAAATATGCATCTTCACCCTGGGACTTCCAACTCATTGCTTTTTGTTCCGCACCCAACCCTCAAAAGGACACGTCTGAGCATTCACGGGTAGCTATGGAACGCCATTTGTGGTTGTAAGTACAAAATTGAAGAAGGATGGTTTGTGATATTTTGTTTACTGCATATGACGAAAACAAAACCTAGCAAATAAGAAAACAATTAGAATTGGAAGTGGAAATAATCAAACCAAATCAGACAACATTGAATAATATTCCAAAGATGTTCAAACAAGATATTCTAAAATAGGAAAGTCCCAAACAAGCAAAACGAGAAGCAAAGTTCAAAATAGAATTGGAAAGCTTTTATTTTTTTAATACATATCATAACATATCTGAGAATAAATGGAAAGTCTTTAATTTTTTCTTCAATTTGTTTTTGAAATCGGGTTATAAAAAGGGGATTCAAAAATGAGTTCACGACAACAAACATACACAGAACAAACAAATTCACAAACACTCAAAAACGCAGAAGTCATCATAGATTCACGAATACTGTCATACCCTAAATTTGTCCTACCTTTGTATAGCCTCCATTCTGTATATTTACCCGCTAACATTATTCAACAAAATCCAAGAGTTATGCTGCCTAAATATAACTTGCTGCAAGGATGAGTTGAAAATTCACTTGAGGTTTATTAAGTCAGGATGCATGAATTTAGATGATGTATGTGTGACGTTGCAGTTAAAGTTTATGAGTAGGCGATTCATTTTTGTGTGAACCAAGTTATCAACTTGTGTTTTGTGTTTAGAGATCCAAGTTAGAGCTGTCGAGTAAAGTTCAGGCTCATGTGATGATATCAAGTTGCACAATATTCAAGTTTGATGCACTTGGCCCTTGGTCCTAGATTCTATGTTTCCCATTGTTGGATAATGATTCAAAGGAGAATTTAATTCCTTTGTTCAAGGTCATTCTTAAGAGCTGAATTGTTGCACGATGATATTTCTCAGAGTTTTGATTTGGAAGGTACAATTAACATTTTAGGCCCATATCATAGAAGCCCATTTCAATTTTTGTGAGTAAGATTCAAAGAAAGACAGCTCATTACTACACAAAGAAAAGGTGCAAAGCCCATTATCAAGCCCAAACAAGTCAAAGTCCTAGAATTCATCATAATACCATAATATTTCTAAGTCATCATAAAATAAGGAATCCATGTGCAAATTTTGAATTCAATTACAAAAGCCCACTAGAAATATAAGAGAATAATGTTGACAAGAACTTTTGGCTTGGAAAAGATATTACATGAGCCATTATACAATCATACCATCATGTACCATGACAAATATACAAGCTGCAATATCACCTCAACAAACCAACACACAGTACAAGCATACCATCTGCACAATACCCTACGTTGCACACCATGAAAACCGCAACCTACCAACAAACCAGGAAATGGTACAAAAGCGACAAAGTGGCCTGCGTAAAAGAAAAATAGTACACGCTGCAGCAAATACATCGCACGACATTACCGTTTCAGGACCTCCAACTGGCGTTTCTATCTTCTCCACAATACCATTTTTCCACCTTCAATTCCAACCAATGGAAAGGTTAGGGATGCTGCTCCAGGGCTTTCAAAAGTTATGTCTTGCAAGACGCACATGCTTGTAGATTGAGATCCTCGTGCTTTCATTTTGTTCACTTAGTTTTGCAGACCATTGTAGTCACTGTTACATTCAAATTGAACGGGAACTTACTAAGAGACAGAAAATGAATACACATAATAATATGTTGGGCATTGTTTTAAATGATATACCTCGCATGATCGCACCCTCGCAAGAAGATCGGGAGATACGACTTGCAATTATAAATGATTTGCGAAGCACTGTTGAATTTGTGGAAAGCCTGAGAGGAGCAACCGTTGAACCATTTGGGTCATTTGTATCTAATATCTTCACACGATGGGGTGACTTGGATATTTCGATTGTGTTATTAAATGGCTCCCATATTGCGTCTGCTGGGAAAAAGCAAAAACAAACGTTGCTGGTAAATTTCCTAAAAGCTTTGAGAATGAAAGGTGGATGCACACACTTTCAGTTCATCCCCCATGCAAGAGTTCCCATTTTAAAATTCATTCACGCCCGACACACAAAAGAAATTGTAAAAAAATAATGATAGAAAGGTACCTTCTGCAGAATCGTCTCACGCATCATAATGTTGCGCATTTTTGCGGACCGTCTCTTGTACATGACCACAATGCGATTCGCAAGATGAAGATCGCACACATACAACCACTCCAACGATACAACTTGACTATGAATCTTCACATCATACGCAAGGTGAAATGCGTTGCCACCATTATCCGTGTAATAGAGCAAACAATGTAAACCTGCTGAAGCAAAATTCAATCGGATACCACTTTTTTCATAACCAATTCTAGCTACTACAAAAAGGACGAAAGCGCATAGGATGATACCTGCAGAAAAGAGGGTCTGCAGCAGGATGTAAAACCATCACCATTTTACTTCAATTTGTGGCACATCATTATAAATACCACAGTACAAAGTGGCCATCCCAATGGTTGTGACAAGAAGCACCACTCCAACAAACTTGGTACGAAGTTTCGCAACAGCCAATAAAGTAAGGATTCGTACAATTGCAATAAATAAATCAAAGAAAAATTGCAAAACAGAAAAGACAAACATGGATGGGATGGTTCAATACTACTACCTTTTCCAATAAAGCAAATGTAGCACATCAAGGGGGTAATATCGATAATTTTGAATCCTGCGAACCATGAGGTGGGGCTTGTATCACATTCTCATATTTGGTGGTCCTAGCAAACGGTTATTTGCAAAAGAAAATTTTCATTTGTAGTGCACACCCACCACCTGCGTACCATGTACTTTCTTCATCCAGCTGGCTGTGTTTTTCTCACGGTATACGCATCACACAACAGCAAAACCCGCACAATAAGAGGACAATTTGCAAAACAGAATAAGAAAATGAACCTTCACACAACCAGTCACAAAACCTGTTACACCCACACATAAAAAGAGAGTATTAAAACCATAGCTCATAACAAAAATCGTACATAATGAAAATGGTAAACATCGTACCACCTGCCTGCTGAAACAAAAGTGACGAACCACAATTTCACTAACGGAATTTCAGAGACAAATCCCATTATACCCTCACTCACTTTATAAATAAGAACACATTCATACTCATTCTTGAAGCTCGGGGGGAGCCAAGTTTATGCTGCAGAATTCCAATTCCCACCTCAAACATTTTTTCAGCTCTTAACAAATCCTCTTCACCTCTTGAAAGTTCATCAAAAAAACCTTCTACCTCCCTTCGACCTTCTCACCTCATGAAAAAAACAGAACAACAGATCTATAAATCCCAAAACTTTCTGCTAAAACTAAATTTCTCTCTTCTTCAAACATTTTCACAACTCCACAAACCGAAACCAAATCCTTTCACACAAACATCCACAAACCTTCTTCTGAAATAAGCCGAAACCCACCAAATCTTCAAAACCCATTACAACAAACTTCAAATTAATTTGACCCATTTCAAATCGAAATCAACAAAAAGAGACAGAGATTAGAGACGAGAACCAAAGACAAATCAGGATACAAAATATTGCGAATCTGAACAAGCATAGT